TGAAGTTTCAAGTATGGCAATAGGCTGTCTGTCTGGAATTCTAGAGAGATGTGTTGTGATGGGTCATACAGCTACATGGGTGGCATAATGCTGCCAAACTTTCTTTGTAGATCCGCTGTTGATTTCTGAAGAGTCGGTAAATCCTCTTGCTACGGGCCGCATTATCTCTCAGTTGCTTCATGGAATCAGAACCATAATTTTGGGTGTTTCTGGCGTCAAAAGTGTAAAATCGGCTGCGGAACTAAGGCCTTCAGATGGTTGACGAGTATTAGAAGTCAGTGTCTTCACGGTATTTACACGTTTGATAGACTTAACCATCACAGGGAAAAGAATATCCACAAATTATGGAATAAAAGTCTTGAGGATGTAAGAAGGGATTGGCGTTTTATTGAAGTATCAAAAACAAAGATTGACAGCTATATACTGGAAAATAATCAAACTTTACTTTCACAGTACTGCTTGATGATAAAAACCATAGTCGTGGTTGGTTAGTGGGTGTATCAGAAGATTCTGGATAATAGATTTCACGACATATATTTCCAGGTGACAAAACGCAATCCTTGTTAAGTACGGGTGGAAACGTAGTTGAAGATTGAACGATCAATTCATGGTTGTTTGCTCAAACCCAACTCCTCCATATTTTCCACGGGATTCATCAATCCAGCAGTCATCGTCTCATCGTTCGCTGTTCAGTGGAAGAGAGAAAACTATCAGAAGTATTATCGTGATTTATTGTTATGACATTTATTCTTAGACCTTGTGTATAATAACCTTATTGTTGGTTACATATTGGCGCAAGAATGAAGGATTCTCGAGTCGCCAATCTGTGCTCTGGATTTTTGCGTTGGTTAATACGCATAGCTGCTGAAAGTCTTCCAAAGACAGCGTGAGGTCCAGTGTAGTAAGACATGGACATTGACAGTGGATGTCTGGGCACTGAGATGAGAGCAGTTACATTCTTATACATTAATCATCACAGATCCACTCAGAAACTGAACACCTATAGAGCAACGGCCCGAATTTTATATATCTTTCCGGAAATTTCTCTTAATATATGTTTTTGCTTCTGTTTCTATTCAACTTCAGTCATTTCAAGGACGCTTAATTGCGTCGGAATACCTTGTGACAATGAGTCGATATGACTTAAACCTGATTAATGCCGAAAGGGTTGCTTGGTTTTCGTTAGAGTACAACTAGCCGTAGAAAAGATGACGAAATTAAGGGTGTCTGCCCAATTCTGACGAGATGTGCAGATGTGACACACTGAACTAATCATTCGACTTTCAGCCAATGGATTCATGGCTGCAGTTCCGCTACACCTACTCCACCCTTGGCAAGTGAGTGGCATCATTAGTTACCCATATAGTAGGAGTGGACTACATCCCAGAAGTGGGTAACTGAGATCTAACGAAATCACCAGTCCTGTCGATGATTTTGCAGTTTAACAATAAAATGGCACTCGGGTAATGAACTATGTGAGAAAAAAATGTATTTGAATTATCAATACAAAGTTTTATTGCATCATTTTTGATTATATTTCTTAATAATGCGTGGTCTTCACGTGAATAAATTTGTTTATGCGAAAATATACACTGTAATTAGCACTAAATTTTACGTTGTTTGATTCCGATATGTTTTCTACCATAAACTCTCTTTCGAAAACCTTGCTCTCTATATTGAATTCAATAAAATAAAGTAGAAATATCCATCCATGAACCGGCCCACGAACACAAAAATACACCTTCCCTGTGTCAGTGAACAGTTTTAGATATAAGCGCTTGATCAGTGTAATGATTCGTATCTAACTCTTATACACCATTACAGGTATAGATAAACCAAAACAATCATGCAACTTCCACACATAATGGTTGAGGACGGCATCATCACCCATCATCCATAAGGCTCTCGAATTCTTTTGGCTGATAACCCTTCTTGAATTATCATTGGACGAAAGATTATTAGACTATGTTTCACAATTATCGGTAACATTATTTTGGGCAATGCTATTATCCTATGACCATAAAAACTAATCAGAACAAATGTAAATCGACTACCTGTCACGAAGATGGCCGGCGGGAGACACAGTTCTATCATTAATGGGGGACTTCAATCAGTTCATTATATGCGGAAACTTGTTTTGAAGATGTTGTCCAGAAGGACGACGAAAGCCCCGCAGTTAAACCAACCGGCTTGGCGGACACAACTAATCTCAAATCGTCCACCTGAGCTGCAAATATTCGCTGTAATCTAAAGTAATATCATTTCCGTCAAGTTAGCAAGTTAATCACACAAATGCTACAATATACGTGAACAAATCTCATTACCATTATTAGAGCTATAAGAACCTACATTTAGTTAGAGGAAAATATCAACAGTTGTCGCGAAATGTTGAAAACATTTGGAGCGTTGGCAGAAACAGTTTGTTCTGGTAACATTAGCCTAGCACCCGAACACTGACAAGTTGAAGTGTATTGTAGCGCTCGAAATGAAACTGCTTTTATCAGACAATCTGGACCATATAAATTCTGGACTATTCATTTCAGCCTCACGAACGTACCACCAGCCTTCATAAGAATAATGCGCATAATAACGAAGAAGATAATATCAAGTCAAAATGTAGTACATTCGAATGCCATCACAGTACAGCCATGCTAATGAAAAGCAAATGAGAAGGCTATGGCCGGTTAGGAAAAGTAGGTCATGAATGTGACCCTTTAATTGTCATTAGGAGGGGGGAAAAATTCTTGGGACAGGTGGTCTGAATGTGATAAGAATTGAACTGGATAAGATTTTTGCCGAGTGGACTATGAAAACTCCTCTAGAGAGCTGTATAACTACCTAGAAATTCTAGGAAACCAGTTGATTATGCTGTCTGAATAACTTAGGGCTCGTTTCATGTCGGCTTTAACTGGAAATAACTCTCACGATTGCGTGTGGTCATATGTTCTGCTAGTCCTGAACTTCGGCCACATTACCTGCTGACTCTTCAGCCTGGCCAACCTGACCTACTTATAATGCCGCCCCTTTTGGTAAAAGAAGAATACAAAATTCGCGGCTGCGTAAAGGTATACTTACCAACGCTGATATGAAGACAATAGTGAAATACACTATCAAAACACAACGTAGTCGACCAGCCCCTGTGCATTGAAAATCCGACTGTGTTTCAATCAGCGTAGAAAAACAAATTATTCTTCGACAGTGAGACTGCTAACATGCAAGAGATTATAATAACCTGCTGGATCGCCCACAAAGTATTGTAGCGGCAAATGATTCCCCAAAATTATTGACCATAGGAATCATCAGTGAACATTGGATGCTGACCCTTAGAGTTTAAGTCGACTTGTTTAGCTGAAGGCTTTCGGTCGAGCATCCACAACATTTGGTACTCCGTCGTGTCACGTTCGTGCACGATCACTAGGCGGTTAACCGTTCGTCTAAGAACTCGCTTTGGTCCCGGAATATATTGCGTAATTCGGACGATCAAATACTGTCTTTTGCTTTGCCTTTGTTACGCGAGAATTAAATAAGCTAGAAGTTGTTGTATAAGAGCTTGCTTTAATATACCCAGCGAGCGTCTATACCGCCAACCCTAAACTCCTGAGCCCAACCGCGAACTACATCTATGATAAATACGCAAATAACCCCGGTGAGTTCGTTCCTTTTTGTATTTGTTATTGTACTATATTTTATACGACATACTTTTCATCATGAGTGATCTTAGTCCCAAAGTCATTCGTATCCGCTCAACTCCTTAAACTATTCAGCTCGTACCATACTGGCCAGATGATGCTGAAACGTGGTTTCAGACAGCTGAAGCAGATTTTTGTGAGCATGGGATAACCGATTAACGTTCACAATTCCTTGCAGTTATTCACGCCCTACCGCGGGAATTCAGAAAGTACGTAACTTTACAGATGTCGAGTCCCGAGGTAAGTAACTCGTACGAGTTGCTCAAAGCATGCCTCCTCCGGAGAAACGTTCTCACGAACCGAAATAGTTTGGATGAATTATTCCGTAACATCGAATTAGGAGATCAGTCAGCTGTGAGCATGCTAACAAGAATGAGAGAGGTTATTGGCCAAAGATAGTTCAATGAAGGACATCTTCGAGAACTCTTCCTATCCAAGCTGCCACAGTCCGTGCAGACCGTACTCGTGGCACCTAGCTGGCGGTACGTTCGAAATTGGTGACATTTTTGCACGTGTTTGCTCTGAAATTTATTTACTGCTTATTGCCATATAATTCTTGAAATTATGGTCCAAATCTCCAAAAAGCGTGTTCGTAGAAACACTGTTGTTTTAGATAATGGCTCAATTTCGGTTATAACTGCATAACCGCCTGGTAATACAGTATTAACTACTAGCCCTCAAAATGATTTGAGTGCAGATCTCACTCCTGTGATACAGGTGAAAGATGTTCTGTTAGAGAAATCTGAGTTCTGTAAACTAAACCTCCTTATGAAAGATATGCAGAGGCAAGCAAGTGAAATTCAGAAAAAATTAGATCAGTTCGATAGTATGTCACTGCCAATCTCAAATACCACGGAGAGCCGTTCCGATATTGGCCAGGTTAAGTCTTTACTGAATGTAACTCAAAACAAGCTTTCGGATTTAGACCCAATAGCCTGTCTGTTAAAACAGCATCCTAAAATATCTCCAGACAGCCTAAATAAAGCTGAAAATCCGATTGACTGCCTGGCTACGGAGGTGATGAAGCGTACAACCTCTCCTCAACAAGCTATAGTTTACAACGTCCCAGATTCTCTGCCCCTGAAGACTGTAAGACACAAAATCCTGATTTGTTGCGGCATGGCTAGTGTTCCATGTGAGTGCAAAAGACTTCGTAAAAAGTCTAACCAGGCTAATTGTCCCATCATTTTTAAATTCAGTAATTCCCTTGATGCTAGTAAGTTTACTAAATTTCAGGATCACTTAAGACTGAATAGCAGTTATAAGTCTATAAACGTAGCCCAGGATAAAACACCGTGTCAGCGCAGAATAATGCGTAGTAATAACCTGGTCACCTCCTTTAGCTTTGATTTACCAAATAAGGATCGTGAACAGCAGCAGACACCTAGTGCTGAAACTAGCATTCAGCAAACTACACAACAACCACGCTTGCCAATGGAACTAGGAACTGATTTAGATACCAGTACCCCTGTAAATAAAGCCTCATCGAAAGATGTTAAAATAGCTAGAACTTCCGCAAGTTGTTCTAAGAAATTTCCCCCCAAACGTAGTAACCTCACCACGATGAACAAATTTCGCAGGGTTGAGACTAATGATGGGGAAGAATACTTTGTATTTAATAGGCATGCTGAGAGTAAGAATATTAACAAACCATCACTTGTTACGAAAAACCCCTCTCGAAACATAAGTATGTCTGGAGGTTTTCCGCATGCTCCACCTTATAGTCCAAGAACTTATTCGACTCTGTCAATGGGATGACTACTTTACCACTGACTCCCTGGAGGCCGTAGTAACCCTGTTTTACAGGAATGTTACCCTTTGTCTAGATACAGTTGCTCCAAAGAAAATAGTGAAATTAAGTAGACACCGAACTGAATATATTCCAAAGGCACACCGTAATAAGTTAAGGAAGCTGAAGAAACAGTACTATTCCACCAAGGACATATCACTATTGCTCTCAATCCACGAGTCTCTTGAATCTCTCAAGCGCCTACGCTCTCAAAAGGACCTCGACGAAGAGTTAACGGCACTTGAAAGTACCTCCAAAGTTTATAACTTAACGGCACTTCTTAAAAAACGAATGCAGTCGGCGAGGGAAATCCCGTACTTACTTCACGACAAAGTAATCTACAATGAGCCTACCACTATCTGTGAACTCTTCAGTGATTGGTTTGCAAACTTTAGTTTAGAAACACATATGCCTGGTGAAACCGCTCCCCTTACTAGCTCTTCCCTTGAAAGCATTGTGTTCACTAATCAGTTAATAGTACAAGCAATTAAAAGCCTTAAACCTTCCACTAGTACGGGACCGGATGGCCTAGCTTCGATAATTTTCAAAAACAGTGGGTGTGATATACCCTTGTTACTTCTTAAATTCTTCTCAATATCTATGGACACTGGCACCTACCCTAGTGAGTGGAAAACTAGCTTCATAATTCCACATTACAAATCTGGTGATAGGGCAAACGTCCGCAATTACAGACCCATAAATATAACCCCAGTTATCTCACGAATCATGGAGAAAGTTGTATAAGATCAATTGTCAGACTACCTAATTAGGGAAGATCTTGTTACAAGGTCTCAACACGGATTTCTCAAAAATAGATCCTGCGTTACTTGCCACTTCGACTTTTTCAACTGCATCACTAGTAGTCGCGAAGCACGCAAGCTAGTCGTTGTTCTCTACTTCGATATATCTAGGGCATTTGACATGGTATCTCACAGTATTCTCTTTGAGAAGCTGTACTCTTGTGGAATTCGCAACCCATTACTGAACTGGTTAAAATCATTTCTAAGCAACAGGGTACAAATAACCAAAGTTGGATCTGTATTGTCTCATCCTAGGCAGATCTCAAGTGGGGTCGTGCAAGGTAGTGTCCTAGGTCCACTTTTATTCACAGTCTACATTAACAGCATTTGCAAGTGCTTCAACTTAGGCAAACCATTCCTATATGCTGACGACCTCAAAGTCGTCTACTCCTGCTACACTCATGAATTAAGTGATATGGTAGATAAAATACATCTTGAACTAAGTAGCCTTGCAACGTGGTGTGCTGAATCCTGCCTAAACTTTAACATCGACAAATGCGGCTGGATTTGTATCGGCAACAGTAAGCTTGATTTAACTCTTGAAATAAATGGGCGAAAACTAGCTGAGCTCAACTCAGTCGTAGATCTCGGTATTAGATACTCTAGTAACCTAACATTCGCTGGACAGACTGATTATGCCAGACGTAAAACGTGAAGGCTGATAGGATGCATAACACGCAATTTCTTTTGTTGTGAAACTAGGGTTTTATTATACAAAGTATGTGTCCGACCTATCTTAGAATACTGCCCGTTTATTCTTAGCGGACTCAGACAAAATGACAAGCTAAAATTAGAGGGAGTGCAACGGCAGTTTACCTCAAGAACTCTTGGTTTAGAAAGTGGTCTGTAATACCATGAGCAATGCGAAAGACTAAGATTAGAACCCCTCTGGAAAGGACGCCTTAAGCTAAACCTTATCTTTTACTATAAGCTGACTAATCTTCTCTTGCATTCCTCCGAACCAATAACTAAACCTACCGCTGTCATCAGTTACAATCTTAGAAATCATCACGACCTAGCTGCTATGGAGCACTGTCAGACTTACGTGCGGTACAACTTCTTCTTAAATAAGTTTTCAGTCATTTGGAATAGACTACCAGCTAATGTGCGCGATGCAAACACACTTCCAGTGTTCATCTCCTCAGTCACCAGACTGCTCAAAGATGACAATGCACTTTTGCACCTGACCCTTACACCTTCTTTTTCACCCTACATAGATATTTTAAGTTCTTTAAACGTGTAGTTACAACAAACTACAATTATAAATTTTAATATTATTGGAACTAGATGATAAACATCTCTGCACAGGACAGTAATATTAGTTCACAAATAATTTAAAAGTTAGCATAACGGGACTAGTTAGTTTGTGTACCAAAATAACCACAGTTACTAAACAGAATATGTATGTATATATTTATTAATCACTCCTTAAGGACTCCCGTTGCTTTCTTTTGCGTTGCTGTTGTTTGTCTTCTTTTTTCTCTCACCATTTCAGCTTCCATTTGACTTTTTGAATGAGAGCATCCACAACATTTGGTACTCCGTCGTGTCACGTTCGTGCACGATCACTAGGCGGTTAACCGTTCGTCTAAGAACTCGCTTTGGTCCCGGAATATATTGCGTAATTCGGACGATCAAATACTGTCTTTTGCTTTGCCTTTGTTACGCGAGAATTAAATAAGCTAGAAGTTGTTGAGCTTGCGTTAATATAGCCAGTACTGCTCACGAGCGTCTATAGCGTCAACCTCTAATATGTCTATTCCTCTGGAAAAATCGTTCCGAATTTTTAGCTAGTTGGCTCTCCTGTCAAGGATTTTCCTTGTATGTAGACGTTGGACCATTTCGACTACCGACAGCCTACTGGTACTCCACGTTTCTTTTGGCTTCTCCAGCGCAACCCCCATGCCTAGTAAGTACATCCTAGGTAGTGATGTGGCTACTAGACGTTTGAAAATTATCTCATCTGGTGATGGAGCTGATAGTAGAGAGCAAGGTATGGAATACTGCAGTTAAACATTCAGTTGAATAGAAGATAACTAGTGCATTTCCGCGGAAGAAATCTCGGTTTCTTCATCACTTATTCTTGGGCAACTCACTCTCCACGTTAAATTTCAGTGCTCAGAACAGTTAATAAAGCCCTTCAGTGTTTGTAAAAACCGAAGGTTCCATTAGGTCAGGAGTTCCCTCAGCAGTATGAAACTGAATGCTGGCATCATCATGGAGGATGACACATGCTGACACACTATCTCCGAGATCATTGAAATCACATGAAAATTCCACATCCTGAGTGTAATCTGATGTTTATGCCTCATAGTAAAGATGCCTGAGTAGAGGACTCTAAGGAATAGCGGCCCAAACGGAAACGACCTTCCAACAAAAAAGTGACCCTGAGCAAGGAATCTGCTGACTGTATCATTTTCGGAAGTAATCATGGATGTTTTCGATTACTGTTTGGATAACGGACTGATAGCTTTGTCGAAAATTTGCCAATGCGGAGGAGTTATGCATATACAAAAATATACAGAGGCCATTGATGGCTTTGTATACAGATGTATTGAGTGCCGAAGGAGGAAATCGGTTCGAGAAGGTTTGTCGTTGTTTTTTTACAATTGTGCGCCTTTCCTTTTGAACCTTCTCATTGACCGAAGTTGTCCCTGTCAAGGTCATTATTGCATTAAAAGGTCGTTTCGGTTTGAGCCGCTATTCTTTAGAATCACCGAGGAATTTAGGTACATTTGTCACCCGCTAGACTACAACACCCTGTAACGAGTGCCAAAAGCGGAATTGACGCAGATATTAACTGTACCCTTCATCCCTTGGTCTGTTCCAAAGGGTCGGAAACATTCCCCCCCCCTTGGATAAACCGGGAGATTCGTAAGTTACTCAGACGTAAACGCAAATGTTGGAACCTGTTTGCAACACTTGAGACTTCTGAGACCAGGGAATTATATACTACTGCTAGAAATAAAGCTATCGCAGAAATCCGCCAATCAAGGATGAAGTTCGAGACACACCTGGCCCAAAATGCAAAGGCACAACCTACGAAAATTTTCTCGTACCTGAATTTCAGGAATAAAACACCCAATGGTGTCCCAAACCTGATTATTGACAAAGATACAATCGAATAAGACGTGCTTTTCCTCCCTAACCGGAAATATCCAATTTTGTGAATTATTCGTTTGGGAAACCTGATCTTCCTATCCGGCGAATTTTTATTCAACCATTTCTTCCTCACCGAGCCTGTGTGTGGTACTTCCCGCTGTCTCGAACTACTGCCAAAGCTTCAGGTGCTACTTCTGTAGCAACACCCTCCTCACTCTTTCAAATATACAGGACTTGTGGGTCTGTTACGTGATTGCTGTGAAACCGAATAACCCGAAAGTTACAGGTAAAGTCTAAAGCTTTTACTTACATACTTTATCCTTCTTTTCTGCGCTCTCTATTGTCTTTTGCTGTAAGTCTATTGGACAAAATAACAGTCTCTTATTATTTAATCACCAGTATTAATTTAGGAGTAAAATGACAATAGATTCTCAACCTAAAATAAGTAATGGGACATCATACTCTGTAGTTACCAGGGCTTCAGCCAAACTAGGCAAACAGGAGAAGGTGATGGACTCACGCATACCGGTCCTGAAGACCAGGGCTAATATTCCCAGCTCGTACAGATTACCCATGTCGCCACAGTCCTACAGTGAAGCTGTGCAAAGTCAGCCAAGTGGATGTGGCTCCACCCCTGTTAACACGACTAGGTTAACAGATCCGAGTGGGAAAATTGCACTAAGTGAGAACTTCATAACACCCATCCCCATGGTAGACCATGAAACAAATAGGAAGGCCAAAAAGAAACGTTCACGACGTCGCAAGACGACAAGAACGCTCCCCAAGAAGACAGACGACTGCAAGGTCTGTGCTTCTGTTGTCGAACAAGCAGACTCTGCCTTCGAATGTAACTTTTGCAACCGATGGGTGCATTGCAGATGCGACAGTGGGGTACCAAAAGCATATTATGACTTTATGCGTAAAAACCCATGCCAATGGTTCTGGTACATATGCCCGAGTTGCCGTCCTGATGTAGCCTCGCGTAGTCCTTTGAAAACTAAAGGTGGCACAGAAGTAGCGGGGAAAAAGGTGAAAAGCTCGACCCCCACCAATCCGGAAGTTAGTAC